TGGGGTTGGACTGGATGATGGCCCAGGAGGTCTCTTCCAACTCTTTGATTCTATGATTCTATGATTCTAAGAGGGCCGAAACAAAGGCCTCCCTGTCTGAGATTGGAGCGATATGCGCACACACACACACATGGAGGGAGGCAGGCAGGCAAGCATCCCTTGGGGCCGTCCAGACAGAGGCCTTGCTTGCTGGAAAACCCCATCCTGGAGCGTGACGTTGGGGGGAGTGCGGAGAAAGAGGTGGCCAAAGTGCTGAGGTCACTTCCTGCCCGCTTGCCTTGGCCGTGCCAAGGGGCCAGGCCATAGCCTTGGTGGTGGCCCCCTCCCATGCGTGTGTGTGTGTGTCCCCTTGACCGGGGACCCTTTCTCCTCTCCCGGCCTCCCTCCCGGGCCCCCCTTCTGCCATGCCTTTGGCCCAGAGCGTGTTCCTGTCCCGACTGTAACGAGAAGCAGATGTTGGAGGGAAACTCTTGCAAAGCCAGCAAAGGGGATGAGAGGGGGATGGAAGGGGAAGCAAGGCACGTCCTGGGGTAGGAGGGAGCTGCGGCAAAGAGGGGCTCCTCTCGGGGAGAGGCATGCTCCAGGACAGGAGGGTCAAGGGCAGCCCAGCAAGGCCGGCCAGACAGCCTGGGAGTACAGGGCACTGGGGCTCACGCTTGCCAGGCAGGAAGTCAGGGGGAGAGCAGAGCAGAGCAGAGCAGAGCAGAGGGAGGAGGGAACCACAACCTCTGGGAAGTCCTTGCAAAGCTGTCAGAGTGTGAGCAGCACCAGCAAGGCTAGGAGCACAAACTGACCGACTGGACTGCTTGACCATCCTCCAGCCAGATCAAGTGGACACCAAAGTGGGCCTTGCCCCTCACCGAAGAAGCAACAGGAGCAACACTGTCCCTGGATTTGTGCACCCGAGGGAGAGCCAGGCCATGCGCAGCTGACCAGTGGCACAAGCAAGACCAGGATGGCCGGCACCGCTCTGGCCGCCTGGCTCTGCCTCTGTTTTGGCCTGCTGGCCGACACTCCGGCGCAAGCCATGAACTACCCTCCGCGGTACAGCCTCTACACGGCCGGAGCACTCCCCTTCGGACAGCACCAGGCCAACGCCAACCTTGCTCAGGGCCACAATGGGGCACGGGTGGCCAGCCGGCACAGGTAAGAGGGTGGCTTCTTTGGTGGGCCCCCAAAGCAAGATGGGGATGGAGTGGAAGAGGAAGGCGAGTGATGGGGCAAGGGCAACAACAGAAGGGAGACAGAATGGCATGCATGGCCCCCTGGGAAGGTGGGTCAAGGCTGTGGCCTGAGCCAAAGTGACCGCTTCAGGCAGGCAGCAAGAGGGACATCACTCCAAAACTTCTCAAGAGGCAGGGGCAAGGCAGACCTGGAAGAAGCCGAGGCTTGCTTGCTTGCTTTCTTTCTTTCTTTCTTTCTTTCTTTCTTTCTTTCTTTCTTTCTCTTTCTTTCTTTTCTCTCTCTCTCTCTCTCTTTCTCTCTCTCTTTCCTTCCTTCCTTCCTTCCATCCATCTCCTCCCTTCATTCCTTTTTCTTCCTTCCTTGCCTTCTTTCTTTCCCTTGCTTTTTCTTCCTTCCTTCTTTTTTTCCCCTTTTCCTTTTTCTTCCCTCCGTCCCTCTCCTTCCTTCTTTCCTTCCTTCATGAATCACTCAGGGGAGAGATGTTGGGTTAAAAATAAAATGTATTATATCATTATTCTTTCTTTCTTCCCTACTTTCCTTCCTTCTTTCTTTCCTTCCTTCCCTCCCTCCCTCCCCCATCCTTCCTTCCTTTTTCCTTTTTATTCCTTCCTTCTTTCATCGATCCATCTCCTCCCTTCTTTCCTTTTTCTTCCTTCCTTCTCCTTCCTTTTTTCCTTTTCTTCCTTCCCTTCCCTTCCCTTCCTTCTTTTCTTCCTTCCTTCCTGAGTCACTCTGGAGAGAGATGGCAGGTTAAAAATAACATTTATTATATCATTATTCTTTCTTTTTTCTATTCTTTTTCCTTCTTTCCTTCCATTCCTCCTTCCCTCCCTCCCTCTCTCTTCCTTCCTTCCTTCCTTCCTTCCTTCCTTCCTTCCTTCCTTCCTTCCAAGTCCGTCTTGACTTGGGTTGAAAATAAAATTGGGTTAAAAATTGGGTTAAAAATGGTGGGTTAAAAATAAAATTTATTATATCATTATTCTTTTTTTTTCTATCTTACTTTCCTTCCTTTCTTCTTTCCTTCTTCCCTCTCCCTCCCTTCCTTCTTTCTCCTTCCTTCTTTCCTTTCCTTTTTCTTCCTTCTTTCTCCTTCCTTTTTTCCTTTTCCTTTCCTTCCTTCCCTTTCCTTCTTTCTTTCCTTCTTTTCTTCCTTCATTCCTGAGTCACTCTGGAGAGAGATGGTGGGTTAAAAATAAAATTTATTATATCATTATTCTTTCTTTCTATTCTACTTTCCTTCTTTCCTTGCTTCCCTCCTTCCCTCTTCCTTCCTTCTCCTTTATTTTTCCTTTTTCTTCCTTCCTTCTCCTTCCTTCTTGCCTTTTCTTTTTCTTCCTTCTTTCTCTTTCCTTTTTTCCTTTTCCTTCATTCTTTCCTTGCTTTCCTCCTTCCCTCCCTCCTTCCCCTTCCTTCCTTCTCCTTCCTTCTTTCCTTTTCTTTTTCTTCCTTCTTTCTCTTTCCTTTTTTCCTTTTCCTTCATTCTTTCCTTGCTTTCCTCCTTCCCTCCCTCCTTCCCCTTCTTTCCTTCTCCTTCCTTCTTTCCTTTCCTTTTTCTTCCTTCTTTCTCCTTCCTTTTTTCCTTTTCCTTTCCTTCCTTCCCTTTCCTTCCTTCTTTCCTTGCTTTCCTCCTTCCCTCCCTCCTTCCTCTCTTCCTTCCTTTGAATCATGGAATTATAGAATCTTATAGCTGGAAGAGACCTGGTGGGCCATCATCCAGTCCAACCCCATTCTGCCAGGAAGCAGGGCAATCGCATTGAAAGCACCCCCAGCAGATGGCCATCCAGCCTCTGCTTCAAAGCCTCCAAAGAAGGACCCTCCACCTAGTCCACCTAGGAGGTCCAGGCAGAGAACCCAGACCAATTAGTCCAGCCAGGGGCCCACTTGGGCCCTCCCTCCCTCCCTCCAGGTGTTTTGGACTTCAACTCCCACCATTCCTAACAGCCTACCGGCTGTTAGGAATGGTGGGAGTTGAAGTCCAAAACACCTGGAGGGAGGGAGGGCCCAAGTGGGCCCCTGGCTGTCTTCGACCTATGAGACCACCCACTTGGTCTCCTTGGCCCTTCTTCCTTGCTGGAGAGAGGAAGCAGAGCAAGATTGGGGAAGGGGAGAGGAAGCCAAGGGGAAAGGGGTTTGGAGGCAGGCCAGGGCTGGGGAAGGGTTGGATTTATTGGTTAGAGGAGGGGGGCATCTGCAAGCAATGAGGAACCCCTTTGCAAGCCTCAGTCTCCCAAAGAGGGAGAGGGTCATAGAATCCCAGCTTTGGAAGGGATTCCTAAAGACCATCCAGTCCAGCCCCACTTCTGCCGGGAAGGAAGGCATCATGCAAATCCTCCCGACAGATGACCATCGAGCCTCTCCTTAGTACTACTGCTACTACTACTACTACTACTACTACTACTAATAATAATATCCTAGAGTTGGAAGGGAACACCAAAGATCATCCAGTCCAACCCACCATTAGGCAGGAAAAGCACAATCCAATCCCTCCCAACAGATGGTCATCTAGCCTCTCCTTAATAATAATAGTAACAACAACAATAGTAGCATCCTAGAGTAGGAAGGGACCTCCAAAGGCCATCCAGTCCAAGTCTCCTTTATTCTGCTATTATGCATGTTGTTGTTCATTCGTTCAGTCGTCTCCGACTCTTCGTGACCTCCTGGACCAGCCCACGCCAGAGCTCCCTGTCGGCCGTTACCACCCCCAGCTCCTTCAAGGTCAGTCCAGTCACTTCAAGGATGCCATCCATCCATCTTGCCCTTGGTCGGCCCCTCTTCCTTTTGCCTCTTCCTTCCTATTATGCATAGAAAAGCACAATTCAAGCCCTCCTGACCGATGGCCATCCAGCCTCTCCTTATTACTATTACTGCTACTACTACTCCTCTTACTAATAGTATCCATCCAGTCCAACTCCCCTTTATTCTTTTTCCTAGTTCCAACAGACCTCACTACCTCTGAGGATGCTTGCCATAGCGGCAAGCAAGGAGAGAATGCCTCTAGACCATGGCCATACAGCCCGAAAAAACCTACAACAACCCAGCGATTCCAGGCATGAAAGCCTTCGACAATACATTGAACATTCCGTTTTCCATTCTTGAGTTTGGAGTAGAGGAGTTGCTTTGGGAGACGGTGGTCGGGCATCCGGACAATGTGACCGGTCCAGCGGAGTTGATGGCAGAGGACCATCAACTCCAAGGGAAGGTTGAGCTGGAGAGACGTTTCCTACCGAATGGATTCCTATTGGGGCCTCCTTCTCTCCCTCTCTCTCCTCCTGGGCTGGTGGTTGGTGCTGTTTACCTCTCCCTCTCCCATTAATCTCCAGTTGGGCCCCTTTGGGGAGATGAGAGCGGCTGAAAAGGTCCAGCTGCCTCTCGGAGGAGAAAGAGGAACGGCCGGGGAGAAGGACAGCTTCTGGTTGAGCTTTGCAGTGTTTGGTTAGGTGGCTACACAGGCTGGGTGTTTGGGAGTGACTCTGGACTCAACGCTGAGCCTGGAACCATAGAATCATAGAATCCTAGAGTTGGAAGAGACCTCCTGGGCCATCCAGTCCAACCCCATTCTGTCAAGAAGCAGGAATATTGCATTCAAAGCACCCCTGACAGATGTTCATCCAGCCTCTGCTTGAAAGCCTCCAAAGAAGGAGCCTCCACCACACTCCGAGGCAGAGAGTTCCACTGCTGAATGGCTCTCAAAGTCAGGAAGTTCTTCCTCATGTTCAGATGGAATCCCTTTTCCTGTAGGTTGAAGCCATGGCTCCATTGCGTCCTAGTCTGCAAGGCAGCAGAAGACAAGCTTGCTCCCTCCTCCCTAGGACTTCCTCTCACATGGCTATCGTCACGTCTCCTCTCAGCCTTTTCTTCTGAAGGCTAAACATGTCCAACTCTTTAAGCCGCTCCTCATAGGGCTTGTTCTCCAGACCCTTGATTATTTTAGTCGCCCTCTTCTTCTGGACACATTCCAGCTTGTCAACATCTCCCTTCAATTGGGGGCCCAGAACCGGACACAGTGTGATTCCAGATGTGATCTATCCAAGGCATGGGGAACACTAGGCTCCTCTTGATGCAGGCCAACATCCCATTGACTTTTTTTTGCCGCCACATCACATTCCTGGCTCATGTTCACAAATGCAAGATACTCCACTTTGGCAGAAAAAATGAAATGCAAAGATACAGAATGGGGGACGCCTGGCTCGAGAGCAGTACGTGTGAAAAAGATCTTGGAGTCCTCGTGGACAACAAGTTAAACATGAGCCAACAATGTGATGTGGCGGCAAAAAAAGCCAATGGGATTTTGGCCTGCATCAATAGGAGCATAGTGTCTAGATCTAGGGAAGTAATGCTCCCCATGCTCTATTCTGCTTTGGTTAGACCACACCTGGAATATTGTGTCCAATTCTGGGCACCACAACTGAAGAGAGATATTGACAAGCTGGAATGTGTCCAGAGGAGGGCGACTAAAATGATCAAGGGTCTGGAGAACAAGCCCTATGAGGAGCGGCTTAGGGAACTGGGCATGTTTAGCCTGAAGAAGAGAAGGCGGAGAGGAGATATGATAGCCATGTATAAATATGTGAGAGGAAGCCACAGGGAGGAGGGAGGGAGCAAGCTTGTTTTCTGCTTCCTTGGAGACTAGGACGCGGAACAATGGCTTCAAACTACAAGAGAGGAGATTCCATCTGAACATGAGGAAGAACTTCCTGACTGTGAGAGCCGTTCAGCAGTGGAACTCTCTGCCCCGGAGTGTGGTGGAGGCTCCTTATTTGGAAGCTTTGAAACAGAGGCTGGATGGCCATCTGTCAGGGGTGATTTGAATGCAATATTCCTGCTTCTTGGCAGAATGGGGTTGGACTGGATGGCCCATGAGGTCTCTCCCAACTCTTTGATTCTATGATTCTATGAGACAGGAACCCAGTTATGTGCGCTGGGTCAGGAAGCAGCAGAATCCATTGTCCGGCCCTTGGCGA